TCCCTACACAACTTATTTTTATATCTCTGTCAGCTGCCCACTTTAAGCTTTCATTTTTCTTGTTTACTACTGATATGCAATATGGCCAAAAATGAACTTATCATATCTCAAAAAAAAAATGGCTTTCCTCCTATGTTTTCTAGTTGAGATACCACCCTTATCTCGCAAGTTCAACTTGTATTATCTTTACTTTTTGCTTAATTTTATTTTTTTCAACTGGAGCTCCATGTTAAAAACCTGATCCAGTAATGTTATGTTATGAAATGTTTCCTGCATCTTCTGTTGCTTCTGTTGCTATATGCTTGGTCCAGGTTCAGTTTCATGCCCATATTGTTGTAATTGATCTTAGTTTTTTTTGTGTGAGACTAAGCTCTCCCCATTCTAGTTATTCAGTAGAATATTTCCATAGTGATCTTCCTCAAACAATGCTTTCATGATGTCAACCAACTTCAGTGGCTCTCTGTTTCTTACTGGGGTTCATGTAAGGGAATTTTGAAAATAAAATGGAAAACTGAGATGAGTTTTCAGAAAATAACATGCTCAAGAAATAATAGCAGTATACACTTTACAAATCAAATATTTACATTTACTATATTGTGTATCTGCAAGTATTTATTAAAATAAAAAGAATAAACATAAAAAGTAAAATCATGGACATCTATACTAACCGGTAATGGATAAAGAGGAACATCCACTTGACCTAGGAAATCATCTCTTGTCTACAAAAGAAAGAAGAAAAAATGACATTAGTAATATGCTTGATCTTTTTGGAAAACTTTGATGAGCTATTGTCATCATTCACAAAAATACATCGAAGTTTTTTTTTGTCTGTTTAACCCTATGAAATATCAATGAAAAAATCAATGGAAAATAAAAGGTAATATGCTACAACTTCTGGTAATGGCAGAATGGAGTATGTTAGATTGATCCTTCTGAAGATAATAACTATATACTCTGAAAATATATCAAAACAACTATTTGAAAGCACCACAGAGTGACCAAAAGTAAGCAGAAACTGGAAGACAATCCTTGAAAGAATGAACTGTACTAGGTAGGATTCCTGTTCATATGGCTTTTCACCTGGTAGTACTCCACAGTTCATATGGTGGAATGATTGGAACTCAAAGAGAAATCTGAAATCTTACTCCTTTGAGGAGTCCAAAGACTTACTTTGAAGTTAACAGTCTAACTGGAAAGTGAGGGGGACAACCCCTGAAAGGAAGAAGCCACAAGAGTCCCTTCAAATCTACGTATAAACTCTATCCAAATTCCTAGCTGATCCCTGAACTGCATATGTGAAAGGCAACAGCTGGAAGGCTGAAAGGACTCAGCATAGATTTCACAGTTGATGTTCACCTAAGGGGAGCTAGCATTTAGAGTTCAGCTAAGTTAATAACCTGCTAGAACAAAAATCAACACTCTTTAGGGAAAGATAACAAAACT